TCGCCGCCAGCGGTCGAGTCTGAGCCGGGAACTTGAGCACTTGGATTCGAGCCGGCGCCAAAGAGCCCGGGGGGCATCGCCCGCAGCGGCTGAGATCATGGCCGGCTGAGCGGGACGCCGCCTCCGCCTCAGCCGCCGCCGCCGCCGCCGCCTCCTCCTCCTCAGCCGGCGGCGGCCCGGGCCCAACAGCCATGGCCGAAGACTATTGGGACGGGCGCCTGCGGCGAACAGGAGGAGAAGGAGGTCGCGCGGCCTCAGCCCGGGCCGCCGCCCCAGCCGCCGCCGCGCCGGCCCCGCGGTGCTGAGGTTGCACGCGCGCCCCCGCCGGTGAGACCGTCCTCTAGACATAGGGTGGGGGGTGCCCCTCCTCCTCCTCCACAACCATCCCCAAACACGGGTGGTGCCTAGGGGTCTGGTCTGTTGGTACTATATGTGCCCCTCCCCTAGCGAATTTCCCAGAGTGCATCGGGGGCGGGGGGTCATTCAGGGCCTCTCTGACCTTGGCCCCGCCCTGGGCCCGGTCTGGGAGTTGGAGATGGGATGTGTTGTGGGTGCTAATGGGAAACAGGGTGATTTAAGGACCAGAGGTGTGGAAATGGGCAGAACGGTGGAAGACCCGCGGTTGCTAATGGGGCGAGGGCAGAGCATCTGGTAATAAGTCTTAAGACTGTGAAAGTTGTGAGGCCCAGTGTGTGCAAATGAGGGAGGCAGGGTAGTCGAAGGACCCCAGGATGTATAATCGAGAGTAGGGTGTTGGAGGAGTGCTAAGATATGATAACGAGCTGTGGATAGGCCCACTGTGTGTTGAGGGGGGATAGGTTGACAGAGGTACCAGAAGGTGTGCTAGTAGGATCAGTGGTCTGAGGCCCCGTGTGGTAATTAGTGTCAGGATCGTGTTAATGCTGTGTTTTTGTCCGTTGGGGACTGAGGTGTGTGAGCATCCAGGGAATGCTGATGGGAGTCATAGTTGTAGAGGGTGTGTGCGTGTGGTCATAAGGGGCTGAATAGGAGGCCCCGTGTGTGTTAATGGGGACAGAGTGATGGAGGGACCCGAGAATGTATATGGGGGCAGAGTGGTGGAAGATCTGAGCCTGTGCTAATAGGTATTAGAATTGTGTATATGTGTTTGTGTGTGCGGGCATGGTGGTGAAGGAACTGTGCCGTAGAACTGGATGAGGTTTAGTGTAATGAAGGTCAAGATGATATGAGATCTGTGTGTTTCCGTGAAGACAGAATGTCAGACTCCAAGGCATAATAATAAGGGATAGGGTAATATATGAAGTTCTAGTGATTGCTATTGTGGATTTAGAGCCATGGAGATGCTTAAATGCATGCCAGTCGGGGAAGGGTCATCAGTATGATGTCTGGAGTATGCTAATAAGCATCAGAACATTGTTGAGGATAGTGTATGTTAGTGTCCATGGGGGACTGGAGTGTATTGAAGGTCCAGGGAGTGCTAATGGGGGTACAGAGCTGTGGAGGAAACCTAGTGTTTAGTAATGAGTATCAGGGTTGGGAAGGGACCTAGGTGTGAACCAGTAGAAGTTATAGTTGTAGAGGATTGAAAAAATAGAAATAAAGGACAAGAATATATAATGGTGCAGGTGTGCTAATGTGGATTAGAGCCATGGAGGGCCGAAGTGTGTGTGCTAATGGAGGTCAATACTGAATGAAGACTTGTGTGTACTAATGAGGGTCAGGTCATTCTAGAACAGTATGTTTGTGTGTCCCTGGGGAAAAGGGCTGAGTAAGGATTCAGGGTGTGTTGATAAGAAGGCAGCATTGTGTGAGGCTCAGTGTGGAGTGAAGGTCCAGCTTGTGCTGATGGGGAGGGGACATGATAGTAGGAGGACCAGAATGTGTATTAATGGTGGTCATAGCTGTGGAGGGATCTGAGTGTGTGCAAAAAATGGGTCAGGGTTCTGCAAGGTTCACTTTGTGTTAGTGGGTTTCAGGGCAGTGTGAAGGTCCAGTAAGTGCTAATGTGTGTCAGCTGTAGAGGGCCTCAAGTGCATGTTAAGTTGGGGTTAGAGTTATGTCGGGAGAATAGTGTATTAATGGACGTCAATGCTGTGGAGAGCCTGGTGTATCTTAACCAAGGGCAGGGAGGTTTAGAGATTCAGGGCATGCTAATGGAGAGGGGGCAACAGCAGAGCTGTGTGAGAGTTCCATGAGTGCTAATGTGAATCACCCATGGAGGAGACTGAGCTTGTGATAATGGAGGTCAGGGCTGTGGAGAAGCTAATGGACAGCTGGCCATGAGGACCCAAGTATGTGATGCTAAGAGTTACTTAGGGTCTCTCCACCAACACTAAGAGGGTTCATTGTTAATCTGTTGGGACTTTGTATTCTGATGTTCTCCATCATGAGTAGGAGTTAAGACGTGGGTAAATGTTAAGTCCTTGTGAGGCATCCTTGAGGGTCCAGTGTGTACTGAAGGAAGCAAGGCACTAAGGATCCAGTGTGTACTGGGGTGGGGAATGTCAGAACAGGATGAGGATGATAGGGGTATATGTGAGTCAATACAGTGTGATGATTATTTCTTCATTGATCTATGTGGTATGAGGTGGTGGTTGTCCTTGAGTATGAGAGTAGTCTGAAGGTATCCTAGGGTAGGTGGAGTTTTAAGAAGGACATGTCCCTGTGTCCCCCAACCCACGTGGAGTTGTATGTTCAATTTCTTGCTCCCTCCTACTCTTTTGTGAAATGTAAAAAGCTGTGAAAATTGAAATAATATTTCAAAGTTTTGCTGCATATAAATGTTTAAATGTCTACTCACAAGGGCCTGCCTGGGACCTCCTGCTAGGGATGTCACATGATATACAGATATACTCCATCTTTCTAAAATAATAATAATAATAAAAATTGGACTCTAGAACATGTCTAGTCGCTGGGATTTCCAGTGGACCTGTGGTTCCTCTGGCTCCCTCTCTATCCTTCATTCAGTGCTCTTTACTGTCCTACCCCCCCCACATACACACATATAAAGCAACTGAGTATCCGTGCCATATGGTGACATAGGACAGTCTTTGGGGGCTGATTCTGCTTCCTTTTCCCCAGCCTCAGGTCCAGTGTGTCTGCCTTCTGGGCCAGGAATTTTTGTTGTCTTGGGTTCTCTATGGATGGACCTTATTCTCTTTACATGGGGTCTTAATGCTAGGCTAACTCCTCTACCCTTCCTGGGGAAGTTGAGGTCAGCCAGGCAGGAAGGGAGGTGGAACCGCTGGGATAAGCACCTGATTTTAAGGGAACAGATGCCCCGCTTCTCTCTCCAGCCTCTTCTTTGACCTATCTATCTTTGCTTCCCTTGGGCCCAGGGCCATCTTAGTTCCTGCTGTGAGTCCAGATGGTTCCTAGGCCAGGTCTTTCTCCCTCTCTGCTGGCCCAGAGCCCAGAAGGAAGCAGAGGAAGCCTGGTCTAAACCTTTTGGTAGCCCTGTTCCTTCCAGTAGCCCATGTAGGTTATCTTCCTCCTACCTTGTCTGGGGTTGTTCATAAGTAGCAGGGATCTTGGTAGAAGTTTGTCCTAGGTCCTCAGACCCTTGATTTCATTCACTTCTGTCATAAGTACTTCTTGAACATCTACTTTGTCAGTCACTATTACTGGTTCTCAGGACATATCTGTTACTTAACAGAAATCTCTACCCTGGTGGAACTGATCTAATGATGGTGGTGGTGAGGAGACAGTAAAGAATAAAGAAGCAAATAGGTAGATTATGTCATTTCTGAGGAGCACTTGTGGCACAACAGTTAAGCGTTCTGCTACTAACCAAAAGGTTCAAACCCACCAGCCATTCCACAGGAGAAGAGACCTGGCGATGTGCTCCTGTAAAGATTATCAAATCCAAACCCTGTTGAGTCAATTCTGACTCATAGCAACCCTATAGGATAGAATGGAACTGCCACATAGGGTTTCCAGGGCTGTAAATCTTTACAGAAGCAAACTGC